TAATAGTAATTTGTTAGGAATGTTTGTTTTGGTTTCACAATTCTAACTCTTGTTTACACATAGCATTTTCAAAAGCAAGAATAGAGAAGATATTCTGAGCTGTGGAGAACATAATGAATCCACAGAAATTGATGCCATATTGAAGGCATGCTGGTATATCATTGAGGCATTGATGGAAGGTTCACAAATACATTCAAAATGGTTAGTTATCAGTTATTGCCTATTCAGACACCTATATTACAACATTTTCTGATTGTGCAGATTAATATGTGTATTCCAAGGGGTGAGTCATTCTGCCCATTGAGCAGAAGTGATGCCTACAGCAAAGGCTGCCAATGTGATGTTCGATTCTTATCAAGGTTGGGAATAGACCTAGGAGAGTGGGAATTTGCAGCACATTGTACAGCCATGAAGGTCATTGGTGACCGCTGTCATTCAGCTCGAATAAACCAATCCATCTTGAACGATTTGTTGAGCTTTAACTGGACAGATGAGCAAATCAATGGTGTTAATGTGCCATTCCTTCAAATTGCTGGTACAAGTGGCCAAATGCTGTTGATAGACTTAACACAAGAATACTATGTTGTATTCCCAGGGGGCAGATTTGAGCTGCCAACAAATCTTCAGCAAATTGGGAAGCTTAAGGGATCTATCCAGGTTCTGAAGTATTGCATGGTAAGATAACACCCTCTAATCAGAAAGTTTCTTTATCTCCTCTAAATGTTTATGCTAATTATATAGGACATGTATGGAGAAAGAGACAAAGCAATTGAAAGCTTACAGATTGGTTACCATCCATTTGATGAAATATTTGGCATTGACAATGTCACACCTACTCACTCCAAATTCAAATACATTCACAAGCCATGGTGGACACAGAAACCCAGCCGCAGTGCAGAGCCAACCAAACTTTAGAATGAAAAAGATTTAGAGGTTGTAGTTGATCATGTGATGGTGATGTGATGAAATAAACACCTGTTTCTAAAATCTTTCACACTTGGTTTGTCATTAATGAAACCATTCAAATATGTAGTAGCCATTACATCCTGTTTGATGTTTACAATAAACAATTTTAGCAATAAATTCTTTGATAAATCTAGTTATCTTCACATTCTTTCATCATATCAATATAAATATGTTCCTGGACACATATCAATATATCCATATTAACATCACATTCCAGAACACAAGATTTGCACATTAACGACATGACCAGAATGAACACTCTGAAAATTGCACTGCAAACATGAATGATGCATCATACATTATACTTGAGCCTGCTGTATTTCAGTACCACTAAAATGGCAACTCACAATCAAACACCAATATGGCCATTAAATTTATCTGTGCTTAAATAGGCTCAAAAGCTAACTAGGCTAACTTGGCATAGGTAGCTATTCATATATAAACAAACTAATTTACATCAAATCCACCATAAAATCAAAGAATTACTATTACAGCACTATTAGAAGCATTTTAAAAAAAGAACAAGGAGAAAAATTTGCACCTTACATTTTCAAACTCACTGATACCAAATCTTTGCAAAATCATTTAGACAAAGAAAGAATTACTTATAAAGTTTACCAAGAACAAAAAAATTTCAAAAAAGTGTTAGAAAATTCTAACCAAAACTCAAGAAAGAAAAGAAAACTGACAGAATAACTTTAAAACAAATAATTTGCTTTTTGTTTTTTAACTCTGTTAATGTTTGATTAAATTTTAATTACTTTTCAACTTCAATCAGGGTCATTTCTTAATTTCTTTAACTTCCACTTGGGCAATTGGTTGACCATTTTGTTGCTGTAACTGAGTTAATTGAACATTTAACTCATTGATTTTTTTTATTAATTTTTGTGGAGTTTGTTTTTTAAGTCTCTCTACCTCTGTTTCTAATTCTTTTATTCTATCCATCAACTCCTGTTTTTGTCTTTTGTGCCAGTCTTCTGCTACTTCCAATGCTTCCAAATGGGTTTCTACTTCCTCCATTAGCTGAATTTTTTCTTCTCTGAGATTGTTTATTTGTCATTCATAAAAGGTTGCTTGTCTTCTTTTATAAGGCAAAATAGGAAGTTCTTTTTCTTTAGTACTACTTTCTTTATGCTCAACACAATGACAAACAAACTTGCTATTAAAAATTCTTGATTTATTTTGTAATTTTCCACATTTGCTACATTTAGGCAATTCATTATTCTCAAATTTCCCTTTACTATTACAAATTTCACAAGCACAATTATTGGCTACCAACTTTTCAGTTAATTTGTTCCGAGTTCGAATCTGGCAAATAGCCTTATTTGTCTTTATTTATTATTTTCCAAGTTAGAACAAAAATCACAAGTCGAATTAAGATTTCACCTTTCCAACTCTAAAATTGTGTAAATATAAAGGAGTTCTTGCACAGCGATTACTTAGACTTAATCTCTATCTGGGCAATAAACTCTTGGGTTTGAATTTTAGTCGTTTTCACCACACGTTGAAATGTTTAAACTTGGCTTGTGTTTTTTGCTTAAACAACTTAAATTTGTGGTATTTCAGGTAGAGGTTTTTTGTCTAAGTCTATTTGTTTTTGCAACCCTTCACTTATTTTCTTTTGCTCCTCAAATTTATCACTAATTTCTTGCAATTCATCTCTTATTTCACCATTTAATTCTTCTAGACATCCAATAAATTCATAATGGGTTTTGTATTTGGCATCTAATTCTGCTGCTTCAATCTGTTTTTTTTGTTTTTCAATAACCAACTCTTTTTTATTTTCTTTCAAGTCCTTTTCTAAATTAGAAGTCTTTGTTTTTAAAATGTCATTCTTTTCTTCAAGTTTTTTTATTTTCATCAAAAATAAAACAAAAGAACTTGAACTATTTCAGATTCAAAGAAAGCTACGGCTCACTCTCGGCATGGCATCCTTTTGGTACAAATGCATAATAATCACACACTTCGCCTTTACTAAATTTTTGGGCTTCTGATATTCTATTCATATGTGGATCTTTGATTTTTTCTAAATAGATATCAGGATGCTCATCTGCCGTATCATATTCTGAATCGGAGACTTAAACTAGACAAGTTAAAATGTTATCAGATATATTAATATTCCAAAGCGAAAAAAGGTCAAATAACTATACAATATATTTTTTATATAACGAAAATGTAACGTAAAAAGCAAAATGCTCGTTATCGAAATTAAGTTTTCGGAGACTCCGGCTAGGCAAGAAAATAAATCATAGTTCTTGGACTTTTTAAGTATTGATTAACCAGAATGTTATACAAAAAATACACCAAACGTAAATAAATCGTCATTGATTTTAACGTCGCAATAAGTTTTAATCATCAAATAGAGAGGATGTGCTCACAGTAATAGAAAGCTCAAAATAGGATATCAAAAAATACACCATTCATATTTCGCATTCACCTAAAGGTTTATGCTCACAGTGATAGAAGCTAATGGCGACTATACTTTATATTAGGATTAGGGTTGGTGTTGTACTTTAAAATAAAAAAAATTTTATTC